AAAGCTCCCTGCAGAGACACAGAGGGGTCTGAGGGGAGACCCCAATCTGGGGGACACCCCACTGCCCCCCCCAAAATCGAGCCCCACAGAAAGGGAAGGCTGCACTTACCTTCACCCCACGGGGTCCCGGATAACCGACAGGACCAGGGGCACCCACAGGGCCCTGGGGACAGAGAGAGAATCAGCAAAAATGGGACACCCCCTCCTTGGAAAAAGGACCCTTTTTCCCCACCCAGGGTGTGGGGCAGGGGTGTGGGGGGGGCGTGTCAGCCCCCTTACCTGGAGGCCCTTCTCTCCAGCTGGCCCTTCTCGGCCAGGATGACCCTGTGGGGACACGCAAAAGGTGGGATGGTGACACTGTCCTGGAGTCCCCACTCTGTTGGGGACAGGATTGACCCCACAGACCCCCCACCCCCCCCCGGGTACTCACCGGAGGCCCGTCGGCCCCAGCAACACCCTGTATTCCTGGTTTTCCCGGTGGGCCCTGGGAGAGAGGAGGACATTTGGGGACACAGAGGGACTGGGGTCACCCCCTGTGGCTCCCCAGCACCCACTCAGAGTCGGGGCAGCTCCGGACCCCCCCCCATTTGTGGTAGATCCTGACTCACCTTCTCCCCCGGCAGCCCCACGGGGCCCTGGGGGCCGGGCAGACCCTAGGAGAGAAAACATGGGGGGCTGAGGAGGGACTGAGGGAGCACCCCAGCCCCCCAGCCCCACGGGGACACCCCCCGTCACCTCCACATACCTGAGGACCGGGGTTCCCTTGTTGTCCCGGGGGGCCTGGCTCCCCAGGGATTCCCTGGGGGGGGCAAGGAGAGTCCATTAATGCATAAAAAGACCTTCTCAGACCCTAAGATGTGCCACCCCCCCCCGGGGTGCACCCTCCTGCCCCACACACCCCCCCAGGAGCACCCCAGCTCTGGCCCCACTCCTGCCTCCCCCTCCCTGGACCATCCCGGTCTCTAAGTGGTTAATTGGGGGTGGGGGCTCCCTGGGGGGGCTCCCACTGACACCCACCACGTTGCCCTTGGGTCCTGGTGCTCCGTCGATGCCACTGGCACCCTGAGGGGGAAGGAGGGAGGGTCAGGGTGATGTTGCACCCCAAGGTGATACCACCCCAAGCTCTGCCCAGGTTGAAGGGTGACAGAGAAAAAGCTTCTTGTCCCCAAGCTGGGGGGGGGACACACAGACAGACAGACAGACAGACAGACATACCGGTGGTCCGGGGGGGCCAGGAGACCCCCGGGAGCCCATGAGGCCTCGTGCACCCTAAGGCCAAGGACAGAAAAGGGGGCTCAGATGGCAGCACTGACCCCAGCCCCCCCATATTCCCCGGGGGTCGGGGAGTCCGGTGCTCAAATCCCTCCTCCAAAAAGCCACAGGGAGAAAAATGGTGGCCAAATTTGCCCCCCCCCAGCTCCTAGGGCTCGGGGGGGGGAAGCCAGACCTGGTGGCTCCTGGTGCCAGCAGCAGGTACTTACGGGTTCCCCGGGTTGTCCCCGAGGTCCTGGGAGACCATCAGAGCCCTGAAGAGGACAGAGAGGAGCTGAGCACGTCCC